TTTTTTTTTTTTTTTTTTTTTTTTTTTTGTGAAGCAGCGTTTTGTCGAAAATGTAGCCGAAATTCGACGAATCAATTATCGAAACGTACATCTCTCATCGCGAATTAAGAAATTCTTCTCAGTCGGGCCATTTTAAAAAAAATTCCATCCCGGACAATTTTCGTTTAAAATTTCAAGCTCTCAACGCGTTTTAGAAATTCCCTACTCCATATTCTATCTCCCCTTGAAATAACTGTAACCATACTTCCCGCGAACGTATAGTATTTCTCTGAGGAAATGAAGACGTTCGATGCATACATGAATTTGTTGAAATAGAACGCTACCACAATACTGTCTCGCGGTAGGAGAACAGGAAAAATTGCGACAAGAATTTCAGAATGAGGCGTAGAGGATAATTCTCGAGAGGAGAAGTACACGAGAAGAGGAAATAATTTCCCTCCTGGAGTAGAGAAAACGGAGCGAAGTCCCTTTTAAATTCTTAATTGGCAAAAATCCAGTGTTGGAAATTTAACCCTGTTGCGAAGTTGTTGCGAAAAAGACTGAAAGACAAGACGATTCAACACGGAGAAGAAAAATGTAGACATAATCTCCACAGAGTGTACAAGAACAAGAGAAGCTTAATCCGGTGAAAATTTAAATCTCTTGATTCGCGCATCGTAAGAAATTATTTTACAGGATTTGAAGATAAGGCGATTCTAGAAAAAAAAAAAAAAAAAACAAAAGAAAAATAAGTAATTTCTCGAAATCTCAATTCAGAGTTTCTTCTTCTTTCTTCAAAATTGAAAAATGCTCATAGTTTCAAATTCCAGGATTATTTTTACGTCTTTAACACGGAAGAAGTTCCAAAATATATGTAATGTACAATAGTTGGAAATTATTTTTTTCAAGTAAATCCCTTCATCTTTTTCCGGAGCTTTCGAACGCTATTGTAATACATAGGCTGCTAATAATCCTGAAACTGGAGCTTTATCCTTTCGTTCTCGGAACGTTTCGAATAATTTTCGTTGGTTAGCCAAGCTATCTGGAATGTTTCTCGATGGAGCTTGCCTGGAAAACACGACGGTGCTGGATATAATCCTTGATCCGGCGGATGCCCAACATTCCGTCAGGTATTCACTGAAATCGACTGGCAACGCTGCCAACACCGCGCACAGACGGAATTATCCTAATTATCGAGTGAAACCATTCCATTTAGGGATACTGACGAATCTCTAATGACGAAGCTACGAGCTTCTACAATATATACACTCGCGTGCCTGGCATCACATTTTAAACGCTCTCGGGGAAATCGAAACTTCCAATTTCACTTAGAATACTTTCACCGGAAGGAATTCCGCTCGAATATTTCCATTGTGAATGGAAGTTTGTTTATTTACTTTACGTCGCTGCCCGGGGGTATTAAAATGGTTAAAAGGATGCCAAGCAATTTTCTTAATTTCATTGGCGCAAAACGAAGGAAGAGAATGGTGGCGAAAGGTGGTATCAGGGGAACGCACGGCGAATAAAGGGCGAGAGCTCGAAAATGTTGAAAAATAGAAGATGCTGAGATGAAAAACAGAGGAGCGAGTTACGTAGGAAATATTGAAAAGT